GTGTGTGTGTGTGTGTGTGTGTGTGTGTGTGTGTGTGTGTGTGTGTGGTTTCCACCCCAGGGATGCAGGCCTCATCAGGGGAGCTTTTCTGTATTTCCTCTTAGCTCTTTGGAGAGTTCAGAGAGCTCAGGTCACACGCCCTCAAGTCAGGGACTCTTAGGATCAAGGGCCACGGCATAACTTCACACACCAAAAAACCAGAGAAAAATATTATGCGGAGGCTTTGCTTAGACCCTGCTTTTTTTTCTGGGAAGGGTACACGACAGTTTGTAAAAACAACACAAATAAACAAGAATAAAATGGAGAATAAAAGTCTGAGTTGAACTTAAAGGAAAGGAAGGGACAAATAAGTCCTATGATGGTTATGACCGAGCATGAACCTGGCTCTGAGTTCCCTGGCAGCCAGGGTGAAGAAGGAAACTTGCAAAGTGGACTCATTGTCACTATCATGGGGTCTTTGAGAAGGGGATTGACTTCTTCCCCATGGGGACGGTGTTCTTCCTTGGAAAACTGTAGTTCAAGTGGTGACTTTTACCATGTCTGTTGAGGTGCAGGTGGTCGTTCTAATGGTCCCAGGCGGCATTTCAGTTGGGAGGGAGTAGAGTTGATTACTAGAGCCTTCATGCTTGCATGCTTCTCCCTGACAGCAGGAGCTGGGAGTAGACAGCAAACCCCAGAGGTGTGGCCAAGCCTGGGTGGGGTGCAGGTGTAGGAAAATCTGTGAACGTGGCGTGGGAGGTTGGGGCTCCCTTAGGCACACACGTGGCCAGACCCCCAGGCCTGCTGGCCAAGACTGGATCAAGCTCAGGAAGGAGCCAGGTGTGGTGGGAGGATCCTGGACTCTGGGCCCTGTTCTCTCTTAGGCCAAGAACCTGCTGTCTGGACTTGGCCTCCAGCTCTCCAGATCTTTCTGTCTCCTTTCCAGGGCTCTGTGTGTCCCTTTCTTCTCCACTGTGGAATAGATTCTCTCTCTCCTTCTCTCTGCCTCTCCTTTCTTCTGGAGCCTTGGAGGTCAGCGCCCCCCAGTCCACCCACCCTTCCTGGGCCCTGACTCGGGGCCAGGAGGGACGTCCCCATCTCTCCAAGGGCCTGAACTGGGCCCTGCCCACCACAGCCCCATCCCTACCTCCCACCACTACACCCCCCCCCCCCCCCCCCCCCGCCTCTATCGCAGGCAGCTAGGTGTGGGCATCTTCCCCGTGGAGAGCCACTGGCAGGGTGTCTATGGCCCCTTCCGGGACTTCGTTAGTGCTGGCTGCCCTGGGGACGAGCAGGAGGCCCTGCTGGGCTTCCACGTGCAGAGCTCGAGGGAGCTGCGCAAGTCCCAGGAGTACCTGTGCTGCGAGAGGTAGGTGCAGACACGTACACGTGTGTGTGTGTGTGTGTGTGTGTGTGTGTGTGCGTGCGCGTGTGCACGGGGGCACCCGTGGGGGCATCCAGAGGGCCAGGGCGGGGGTTCGTGGGGCTCCGAGTGGGCTGGGGAGGAAGGCTTCCTGGAGGGAGTGGGCCGGGGCCCAGGCGTGGGTGAGAGACGCGTGTGCCTGGTCCTCCAGGACCCAGCCCGAGCCCTGTGCGGACAGAATGGAAGGCATCCTAGATGAGCTACTGCTGCACCGGGAGCCCAGGGCCCTGCGGGAGTGCCTCAGGAAGGTGAGGGCCCTAGGGTAGGCAGTGTGCACGGAGGGGGGCCTTCTCACTGCCCCCGGTGCTGACCCCTTCTGCTCAGAGGGCCTCAGTGCTCCCATCTGTGAAATGGGAGCAGCCTTGGGAGCCTCGCTGGGGCGTGCTGTGCTCCACCTCCTGGCCCCGAACTCCTCTCTGTTGCCTTTGCACCTGCCAGGCTCTGAGCAACTCGCTGCACCCCCTGGGAAAGCTACTCCGGACCCTGATGCTGACCTTCCAGGCCACGTACGCAGGCATCGGGGCCAACAAGCACCTGCAGGCACTGGCCCAGGAAGAGGTGAAGCAGCACGCCCGGGAACTCTGGGCTGCCTACAGGTGAGCGGGGTGGCACATGCAGCACGCAGCAGCCCTGTCTATGACAGCAGGCAGGTAGGGCTCTGTCCTTTCCCGATGTCAGGTGCTCTGCCTAGCGCCCTGGGTGGGAATGGTGCCTCCAGGCTGAGAAAGAACCAGAGAGTGGGTCAGTCAATGTCCCGCTGGTGAGCAAAGGGGTTAGAAGGTAGGAGATTATAGCAAGGATTGCCTGTAGCCAGAGTCCAAGCCTTGACCAGGCCCTGGCTGACCCCTGACTCCAGGGGAGCTCTCAGCCTCCGCGGGCTGGGCCTGACTCTGGATTCAGACCCCATCTCCAGTCCTGGCCGAGCCGAGACCCCATCTAACGTTACCGATGGGGGCCCCAGATGCTGCAGTTCTAGCGCTCTCGGGCTGAGGTCCTGTGCTCCCAGCTTCCTAACTACAGAGGTCTGGGAGGCTGGGCTCCTCGCGCTCCGTGGCTCTGGAGGGTGGAGCCTGCCGCCCTGGTCTTCGGTGACTTGGGTTCTCGGGGAAGTGGCAACTACGCAGTCTGTCTTACCGGTTTGCAGGGGTCTGCTGCAGGTGGCCTTACGGCGCAAGGGCCAAGCTCCCGAAGAGGACGAGGGTACTGAGACAAGGTGACCGCCCCCGTGGGGTCTGCAGGGTCCCCCCCCCCCCCGGGACGCAGCCAGGCTCAGGACCACCTTCACTCCTGGAGCCTCCCTTGGGGGATAGGGGTACTTCCGGGGAAGTGTTGGGGGCTCATGCTACTGACCAAGCCTTGTTTGTTGACCATTTGAAGATCAGAATGACCCACGGCCTCTTCCTTGGGTCACCTGGGCAGGGGCGCCGCCACAAGGTGCATCTTTGTTGTAAAGGTGCCATCCCGGTCTCCTCTCTCAGGTGTGCAGACGGTGAGCCTCTCTCAGGGCCTGGCAGGGGCTGAGCCTGAGGCCACACAGAGCGGGAGTTAAAGTGCGTCCTTAAATCTGTCTCCTTCCGTCCCCCAAGACCAAACCTTACAGTTTGCCTTCAGATTTCAGGCCCAGAGATCGTGATCAGGGAGGCCTGTCTCCACATTGCAGGAGACGTGGGACATAGAGTTAGATGTTAGGTAGAACTTTCCCCCTGGAGTCCTAGGAAGCCCAGGAAACGAGGAGGCAGCACTGGACCAGCCTGACATGGCTGCTGAGTGCTTTGCTGCAAGTCCCTTGTCTATCTGGGGCCCTGGTTTTGCTTTCAATCACATGGGGATCCAGTCCTGCCCCAGCGGCCATAGTGGTTCTCAGCGTCTAACAAGAGGATCAGGGGGCCACGGATTTCAACCGAGGGAGTGAATGACTGAGAACAGGCTTTGGAAGCGTTTTCTAGAGGATGGAGGAGGCGGGGACGCTTTTTGCTGTGGGACAAGGAGCTCTATGGGCTCTTTGAGGGGCAGCCCAAGCAGGGATCCCTCCCCCTGGGCCCCCACCCTGCTCGCCCCCCAACCTGTCCTGGCTGCTGTCACTCAGGGACCTGCAGGTGCATGGCCTGGTGCTGCCCCTCATGCTGCCCAGCTTCTACTCGGAGCTCTTCACTCTCTACCTCCTGCTTCACGAGACAGAGGACAGTCTCTACAGCCAGGGCATTGCCAACCTGAGCCTCTTCCCTGACACCAAGCTGCTCGAGTTCCTGGACGTGCAGAAGTAAGCCTTCCCTCCTTGCCGTGTTTGCCAGGGCCCGTGTGCACAGAGGGTACACACGGAGTTCAGTGGTCGTTAGTAGAAAAGGGGATGGTGTTCATTGGCTCACGTACGCACAGAGTTCTAGGATTATGCTGGTGTTGCTAGCTTCAGGCCTGGTTGGATCTAGGTACTTAACTGCGTGGTAAGGGAAGCAACTTCTTCTCTTTCTCTCTTGATGTATCTCTGGCTCCCATTTATGGTGCCAAACATGGTACCAGCCACTCAAAGTTTATACTCTGCCAGCTCCACCCCCCACTGTGCTCCAGGTTGCTGGTGTCCCCTTCCTGACAGCTCTGGCTGAAGTCCCTCACTGGCTTGGCTTGGGTCGTGAGCCTGCCCCTAGATGTTGGCTGTGGCCCACATTGGCCAGTCTACCTCAGCATCTACTACTGGGGCTGGGGAGAGGTGTCCTGCTCCCAGGAACTGGACTGAGAGTGGGGGGGGGGGGAAGTCCTCAAGGGGAAACTGAGGACTGTTCTGGGAGCAGGTCCCTTTTACCCTCAGTTGCTAAAACATCCTTTCTCCTCAGTGCCCCTTCTGATCCACTGATGCTCCACGTCACCACCCGCCCGATGGAGGGCATGGGTGCTCTCTCCGCCCCACACCCGGTCTCCCTTGTCACACAGCCATCATGCTTCCCGCCCCCCGCTCTGAAACCCTGTTTCCCCTTCCATTGTGAATGTCTCCTGCAACTGACTAGTCACCAGCCCAGAGACCTGGGTGCCAGCAGCTTCCCAAGTGTCCCCTCCTCCCCATCCCCTCCTGCTGCCTCTGTGCTGCCTCCTCCATGCTGGCCTCCCTGCTCCATTGTCTCCCCAGGTCCCTGCCCTGTGCCGCATTGCATGGCACCCACGTCCTTCCCCGTTCACCAGCCTGCCCCAGCTCACCAAGCCTCCAGAACAGTCTCTTCCGCTGTCATTCTCTGGCCCAACCCCCGGGACTTTGCTCACAGGGTCCCTTGGCCTGCAGCGCTGCCCCTCACCCCTATCCAAGTTTTGGGGCACTGCCTTCTCCAGGACTCTTCCCAGCCTCCCCTTGCCCTGTGGACCATCGTGGACCCTGAGGCCATCTCCTAAGCTCAGCCCTGCTGGGAGACACGGTGTGCAGGGAATTCGCCCTCTGACCTCAGACCCTGCCCCCTCTTCCTGGTAAAGGTTCTGTGTCACACTTGTTTCATTTCAGGCACCTGTGGCCCCTCAAGGACCTCACGCTGACAACCAATCAGGTGAGAAGGTGGGTCCGTTACCTGCCCCAGCTAGGGGGAGACCTGAGCCTTGAGCGGGGCCCCCAGAGTCTATTCAGCCTTCTGAGCAGCCCTCCGCCTCCCTGCTACAGAGGGGCCCGGGCAGCACTGGCCAACAGGTGCGGGGGGAGACACTGGCTTTCTGGGTTGTTCTGATCTCCCGTGTGGGTGAGGGGGCCATTGCTGGCCCACCGTGAGCAGGTGCAGGTGCAGACCCAGGCTCCACCCCTCTTCTTGGCTATGCAGCTGTGGGCGGGAGCCTCAGTTTCCCCCCTGGATGAGAGTAGTCACTGCTGCGGTGTTGGTGCCCCCTCATGGGAGTGTTGGGAGGGGGCGGTGGGCCGCTCCACACAAGGTGGTGGCTCTCAAGGTGTATGTGCTGGGCCAGCAGCACCTGGGAAGCCTTTAGAAAAGCAGATTCTTGGCCCCCGCCCCCCACCCCAGACATAATGAGTCAAACTCAGAGAGCAGACCTGGACTCTGTTTCAACAAGTCCTTGGGTTGGAGTGCCGCTGACGTGGGCACCCACCCCCTGTGGTACCCAGTGGCCGTTGGGATCATTATCTTCCTTCCCAACCTCCCGGAGACCATTATCCCACTTTACAGTTGAGTAAACTGAGGCTCATGGTGGAGCTGTGACTTGCCCTGGGTCACTCTGGGCGGGGCTGTCCTGCAGCCAGTGATGGGGAATGGTGGGTGGCAAGAGCTCTGGCCCTGGGAGGGAGGGGGTAACAGGGCTGGGGGGACCGTGGCCTCATCCATCTGCCCCCCCACGCAGAGGCTCTCCCTGGTCAGGGACAAGTGCTTCCTGTCAGCCACTGAGTGTCTGCAGAAGATCATGTGAGTCCACGCCCTGGGCAGGGTGGTTGGCGGGGGGCAGGAGTGTGGGGGCCCCTGGTTGGGGCTGAACCCGAGGGCCTTGATCTGGAGCCCGCCGCCCTGCTGCAGCACCACGGTGGACCCCAGGGAGAAGCTGGAGGTGCTGGAGAGGACATACGGGGAAATTGAGGCCACCGTATCACGTGTGCTGGGCCGGGAGCACAAGCTGCCCATGGACGACCTGCTGCCACTGCTCATCTACGTGGTGTCACGTGCCCGGTGAGCCCCAGCCGGGCCGGGGGTTGTGGGGTGGGCTGTGGGAGGACCCCACCTCCCATCCTGCCCTGACCCCCAGCCCAGACCCGCTCGGAGGTCTTTGAACATTGGGGTTTATGGACACAGCTTTTCTTGGTACGGAGTGGGGTTCTGAGGCCAGAGAAGCCCCACCTAGGGTCCCGTGGGGGCCAGGAGCAGAGCAGGGACCACAGCCCAGGTGTCCAGCCACCCAGGCCAGGGCTCCTTCCCCGGCTCCTTGGTGCCTGTCTCCGATGGGCCCCCTTCTCCCTCTCACTGTGGGGATGGGCGTTCACCAGAATCCAGCACCTGGGAGCTGAGATCCACCTGATCCGCGACATGATGGACCCCATCCACACAGGAGGCCTATGTGACTTCCTGCTCACGGCCCTGGAGGTGAGGGATAGAGGTGGTGGATGGAGGCAAAAACACCCTGGCCAGTGGTGCAGATGCCTTCCCTGCCCTGGACCCCAAATTCACTGCTTGTATGTGCTCCTGTGGGCGGAGCCCCACAGAGTCCCTGGCCCTGCCCTTGCTAAAGGGGCTGGAGAAGGGCCCCCTACTTCACCCCAGCCCTGGGGTCCCTGGGGCCCCCACATGTTCCAGGCTGCATCCCTGGGCATAACAGGAGAGGGGAGGCCCCCCCTTCCTTGCAGACTATAGCTGAGGCTGAGTTGGAGGTGGGTCGGGGTGGTCCCAGGCTGGGGAGACGGGTGCCCCCCGGATATTGGTGTGTCTTTGCATGGGGCCGGGGGGGCTGCCCCTCAGCCTCGCCTCTTTCCCGCCAGTCCTGTTACGAGCACATCCAGAAGGAAGACATGAGGTTGCACCGCTTTCCTGGCCGCTGGGACTCCAGGGAGCCCTGGTAGCTCGGCTGCCCGGGGCCCGCTGCAGAGTGGAGAGGGGCTGCCACGGATTTCCCCGGGAAGCAAGCATGGCCCGGCCTGGCCCTCGCCGCCCACAGAGCAGACGACAGGCTGGGGCCGTGGAGGTGGCTCTCGGAGGAGATGAGCAGTTAGTGTCTCCCAGGGAGACGAGGCTGCCGAGGCTGCCACCCTGAGCGCTGCCCACTGTGACCCTGGAGCTGGGGGCTTCCCCCCCCCCCCCCCCCCCCACCCCCCCGCCACTCGGTCAGTCTCGGACCATCTCCTTGACCTGCCTTGGCTCACGGGCTTTTTGCTTCCTGACCCTGCCCGGGCCTCAGCGTTGCTGTCTGTATCCCAGTGGCCTAGATGGTCCGTGATGGACCTTCCACCCATCTTGCTGGATTCTGGAGTCCTTCTGTAAGTCTGCCATTAGTCGGCTAGGGTGAAATCCTCACATCATCGCCGGTGGTGTTCCCTGTTTCTCCACTCTCGGTCAGAGGCTCTAAGTGGCTAGTGACCGCTCTGTGTGTTGGAACTCTTGTCCACAAGCGGCCTCTTGGGGACCTGCCTCTCTTCCCCGCTCCAGGGCTGAGCTGGCCTCTCAGGGAGGCAAGGCTGAACAGACTCCCGGGCCACCTGACCTGCTGGATGGCCTTGGGCCAGGCCCTTCCCCTTGGTGGTACGCGATCGAGCAGGGGCTTGGAGGTCTCTGCCGGCCCGTGTAGCTGTGGGGTACATGTCGGCACCGGAACAAGCTGCGGGGCGGGGTGGGGACACTCGCCTCGTTTGCCACAGCTCCTGCAGGCCCCAAGTGCCTGCAAACCACAGGCCTGCAGCCCACGGGCCTGGGCGCAGGAGGACAGCAGGGGCACGGGGCCGTGCAGGGCTGGCGGGAGGCCAGGGGGAGCTCAGGTGCCTTTGGGTGGGGAGGACTTTGTGTCCATGGTGGTTCTAGTGTGGGACTGAAAGACACAGGAGCAAGGCCTGGGGTGGCTTCATCCCTGCCTGGCCTCAGTCTCTCCTCCCCGCATCGAGGGGCTTGGACCAGGTGACCTGGAGGGGCTCCCCCTGTCCTAACGGGAGATGTGTGACAGTAGGCAGGGTGACCATGTTTTGAAGGGCCCAGGGGCGAAGCATGGGGAGCGGGTGGATTTATGCAGGGATGTGGCCCCAGAGGGTAAGCTGGGCCCCGGCACCATGGCCATCCTGCCACCATGCCTGGGGTTGTAAGCGAGTCAGGTCACCATTCTTGGCTGTGCTTTCCATAACCGAAGCACTGGCCTCGAGGCCTGTGAGGGAGGGGCTGAGGGAGGCTCTGAGAAAGCCCAGTCTCACCTGAGCCCAAGGCTGAATCCCCACGGGGAGCCTCAGGGTGGGGGGCTGCTGGTGGCCGGGGGGGCACCCACAGACCCTCAGATGACATAGGGCCGTGGGGCAGGGGTGAAGCTTTCTGGGGCTGGTTGCACCAAACATGGCAGTGTGAATGAAGTCTTGGGCTCTGGTTTTGCCCGAAACCCCCGTGGTGTCCCCCAGGAAGGTCCCTGGAAGGGGGCGGGACTGATGAAGAGTGGGGGTACCCAGATGTCATGGGCGTTCATGCCTCCCCAGGGCTCTGACAGCCCACCGGTACTTCAGTCCTCTTCAGTGGTCATCAGCGAGTTCTTGTCCCTTGACAAGTGCAGACGGACTTGTCTTAAGGTGGCCCTGAGTTGGCGCGACGCTCTAGCCTCCTTCAGGGTCTGTGAGCTCTCCCTGGAGTTCACATTCACCAGGATGCCCCCACCCACCGTCGCTGGGCCTTGTCCACCACCAGCTGAGCTGGAGCCTCAGGACAGGGTCTCGGGAGACCCCGAGGGCAGCTGGGTCTGTTAGCAGAACCTTACAGCAAAACCAGAGACAGTGAGGACATTGACACGGAGGTCAGTGTTCATTTGCAGAAGCGACACCCGGAACCATGCTGCCACCTGCCGCGTGGGTGCCTCAGGGAGGCCGATGGAGATGGGTCACCTGTAGGGACCCCAGCAATGACCTCTCCCACCTGCTGCAAGAGCCCCTTGACTGCAGTGAGAATATGCTAGCATCTACGTGGGAGGTCAGGCTGGCAACGGGGGACTCCAGCACCTTGGTGAGCTGGCCAACGTCAAAAGCGGCCCGGTGGGGCCTGGCTTGGGTCCCATCTGCCCTCTGTCCCCATCTGGTCCCCATCTTGTTTTCTGAGATGAGGATTCTCTCAACAATGATGGTGACAAAGTGGTAAAATTCATTATAACTGAACCTCATGATCACCTGGGCCAGAGAGGCGAGAGGCTGGGGGTGGAGGGTTCCTCTTCATCGACAGCCGCAGGCGGTTTTCTGACCGACAGCAAAGGGCCACACCAGCCCTGTCCTCGGGGGCCTGGATTTGGGGCTGAGAAAGAGACACAGAGATTAAATGGCCTCTGTGTGAGCAGATGTACCCGAGTCACATAGCCCAACCACCCCCTTCCCACTGCAGCCCAGGCCCTGTCTGCAGCCTCTCATGCAACCTCAGTCCCTGCTTCCCCCTGCGCCCCCTACTTCTGCCCCCACCCCTCCTCGTTCTGTGCCCTAGATGTGCCCTCCTCCAGCCCACTGGGTCCCAGGCTGCTCCATCATCACAGGTCTAGCTCCCATGAAGCCCTTGTGTCCCAAGGAAGGAGCCTCCCAGCTCCTCTCTGGGGCCCATTCCCTGCCCCCGTCATGTTCCTGGGGCATGATAGGTGGGTGCTTGCCCCCTGGCCCTGTCCTCCAGGTACAGTGCTCACTGCCTTTCCCTGGGCTGGCACCGATGACGGTGGGCACTGAGACCGGAAACAGGTTGACTCAGGAAAGGTCAGACGGGGAAGGGCCGCAGGCTCTAGGGCAGGTCTGCGTTCAAGCCTGGCCAGGGCAGTGTCTGTGAATACAGAAGCCCCTGAGGTGTAACCAGCACAGGCAGGGGCCCACCGTGGAACAGAGGCCTGGCCAGGCTCAGGCCAGGCGCAGACAGGAGGTTGATGCCAAAGCCCCAGAGAAAGGGAGGAAAGGACAGACGCCCTCTCTGTCCCCGGGGCTCAGGTTGACCTCACCTGGCAGCAATGTGGCTGGTCCAGCAGGTGTCTCCACGCACTAATCTGTTGCAGGGTTGAGTTCCCACGGCAGGAAATGCCAAGGGGTGGCCAGGTTATAGCTGTTGGATGGTTGTGTTTGGTGGAGATGGTGTCCTCCTGAAGGGGAGCAGGGCACAGAGGGCCCCCATAAAGTCCCCTGTAGGGACTGTCTCCCTCACTCAGTCAGCGAGCCTCACGCTCTTGGATGCCAGCCCTCTTCCCTGTGTGGGGTACCGTCTGGACCATGGAACAGGTGAGGAGGGCTGGCTCTCCTCCCAGAAAGGTGCCAATGGAAGAAGAGGAAGCCGGAGAAGCCAAGTCTATGGCTACTCCAGAGTGGGAGCTGGGGGGCGACTAGAGGGCCCCAAGTTCTGACCAGGCCTCTATTCAGATCACCCCTGAGGGTGCTAGGAGCCAGGGCACAGCCCAAACAAATCCCTTGCCCACTGCAGCCTGGGAGAAGGCGGCGGGGGTTGGGGGGGCGGAGGGCAGCGAGAGGGCTCGGGGCTGCTGGAGAAGCTCCAGCAATGCTGTGAGTAAATGCTCCCTGAGCGGGGTTCCCGAGGGAGAGCCACCTGGCCTCATCTGGCAGCTCCCCCAGAGGGAGGCTGGGCACTGGGGAAGAGGTAAGTTCGGGGTCCGGGTCAAGGTCAATGTTAGGGATTAAGGTTAAGGGCAGAAGCAGGGTCAGTGTCGGGTTAGGGTTAGGGGTTAGGATTGGAGTGAGGGCAAGGGTTCAGAAGGAGTGAGGGTTAAAGTCGGGTTCTGGTCAGTTCGGGGTCCTGGTCCAGGTTGGGACTTTACTGGTTGGCCTTGTCCAGGGTTGTGCAGACATGAGCTCTGGCTTTCGTTACTCTTGTTGTGGGCAGGAGCCAGGGGTGGGGGCCGGGCAGCCAGGGCCTCGGTCTCCCCATGATTGTGGCCCAGTCCTTCCCCTCCCTGGGTCCCGTTTGCTGTCCATAAGAACAGTCGCTGTGCAAGACCACTGTTCTGCCACCCAGGGAAGGAGGGGAAAAGCAGGCAAGAGGTACAGCTGGGACCCTGGGACCCTGGTGCTGTGGCGGTCCCCCTGTCTCGACCCCTTCCAGGTGTGGAGCTCGGTGCGCGCGGAGGGAAGGGCTTGGTTTGACTGCAGAATGGGGCTCAAACAACTAAGTACATTATTCATGACTCACCTGAGGCTGGGGGCTACGTCCTGGCCCCCTCCGCATCCTGTTGCGATTTGAAACATTCATTCATTCCACGAGGCAGGGCAGGGGGAGAGTGTGGCAGGGACTCCAAACCCATGGGAGTAAGACCTGCTGGCCCCCTGTGTTGGGAAGGGTCCGGTGTCTGGGGACGCCTTGGGTGAAGGCTGCTGGTGGCTGGGGACAGATGAGTCCTGCCCTGGCTTTGCCCTGAGACAGTGACACCTTCCCTTGCTCTGCTGGCAGGACAGACGGGCTGCTGATCCCACAGGGGGGCGGCCTGGAGCTGGGGCGGCTGTTTCCAGTGCATGGGGGGCTCTGTGTCTGTGTGGGAAAGGGGTGAGGACCTTCGAGAAGGGGCTAGCAGTCCTGCTACCTCCTATGCAGTCCTTGAACTGTCACTCTCAGGTCCGCCTTCAGAGGCAAGTGCTCTCCCCCTGCCCCCCCTTAATGTTGCGGTCCTTGTGAGAAGTGCGGGGAAGGGGGAGACCCACCTAAAAGGAGTGACCTCAGTCTCAGGGAGCCACTGCGTCATACAAAGGGCTGCTGGTCATGCGGCCACACCAGGCTCAGTTTCAGAAACCAAAAGAACGTGAGAGAAACCAGGTACAGACCATCAGTTGGTACACCCTCTGTAAATGGTGCAGACCAGCAGTTGCAGGTTGCCTCTGGACTGTCCCAGACACCGGCACAGGACCCTATTAATCACTAATTCATGCATTTCATTCAGGTTTGGCCAAGGGTCCGTACCAGGCTGCAGGCATCCCCAGGGATAAGCAGAGGTGACAACAGATGAGTGGAGAGGAGCTGTGTACTCACCCAGTGAACCTTGCCAATGCCTCCGAGGAAAGGTGACCTCGGTGACCAGGGGGCTGTTTGCGTCCCCTGGGTCCCATCCTGCATGGGGTCCTGCTCACTGCTGGAGAAAGAGTCCAGAAGACACTCGCCGTCTGTGTGCTCGGGGCAGGACGGGAGGGCTGTGTCTTGGCAGATGGCACCGTGGGACTGGACCTTGAGGAATGAAGTTGCCGGATGGAGGGATGGCCTGCCCAGCAAGACAGAAAGGCAGGGACAAGGGCTGGGAAGT